TGTTCTCTCACAAGCAGTCCTCGAAAGAGCTTGTAAGCCGCTCTGAGACTCCGAGTGAAGGGTGGGGGTGTAAATCCAATCTCCTCTTCTGTTCTTCTTCTAAAATAACCCCCTCAGTACTATCTTACCTCCCATCCTCTCCTCAGCACTATCAGTATATCTAATCCTCATCATGGCCTCGTCCTTGGATACTTAAACCTGGGGACTGGGGCCAGGAACAGACAAGACAGATCTCCCTGCAAATCTGAGATAAGTCCCGGGTTTGCAGAAAAATCTGCAATCTAAAAAGAATACATTGGGGAGTTTAGAAGCACCAATTGTACCTTTAAGAAAGCAGAGTGCAGTGGCCAATGTGACAGTTGCTAGGCAACCATGACAATATTGCCTGCCTTCAACTCTCGGTTTCTTGCTTTTATACCAAACTGTAAAATTCTATTACTAAGATATTAGTGATTCTTTTCCTTGCATCATACCTCACTGTTGTTTCCGTTAAAATGGTGTGTGTGTGTGTCTATGTATATATATGTGTGTGTGTATATATATATCTCTCTGTATATATGTGTGTGTGTGTGTGTGTATATCACTTTATATATCTCTGTATATTTTAATTTATGTTTTTCTTTTTATATTTTTACTGTAAATTATCTAAATAAGTAATTGTACTAAATATTGTTTATTCTTAATGTAAATGTAATAAATATTTTTTTAAAATAATACCTCTTGGTTTCTACGTAAAAGGCAGAGGGGTGGTCCCTTTCCAGAACTATTTTAACCTTCCAGTCCAGCCCCTGCTCTACGTGCTCTCAGGGATTTGCCGAGGCTGGGTGAGTGGGCGTCAATGTGGCGAATGAGGTTCAACATGGGCAAGTGTGTGAACAGGAGCCACGGTGGATCAGTGGTTAAGACACTGAACTGCAGACCAGAAGGTCGGTAGCTCGGCAGTTCGAGACCCGAGTGCCGCATGACAGAGTGAGCTCCCGTCTCTGGTCCCAGCTCCTGCCAACCTAGCAGCTCAAAAAAAAAAAGAAACAATAGGTACCGCTTTGGTGGGAAGGTAACAGCGTTCCGTGCGCTTCGGTGTCTAGTCACAAGGCTCCAGAGCTTAGAGGGAGCATTGACTATAAATACACGTAGATGGGGGGGTCCAAACTAGCAGAGACCGACCTTGAAGGAGATCTTGGAGTCATGGTAAATAACTCCCTAAAAATGCCAACTCAGTGTGCAACGGCAATAAAAAAGGCAAATCAGCCAGGATCATAATGCCCCTGTATAAATCAATGGTGCAGCCACATTAGGAATACTGTGTATAGTTCTGGTCACTGCACCTCAAAAAAGATACTGTAGCTTTGGGGAAAGTGCAGAAAAGGGCAACTAGAATGATTACAGGGATGGAACACTTTCCCTATGAAGAAAGATTAAAGAGGCTGGGGCTCTTTCGCTTGGAGAAACGACGTCTGAGGGGTGACATGATTGAGGTTTATAAGATTATGCATGGGATAGAGCAGGTAGAGAAAGAAGTACCTTTCTCTCTTTCTCAGAGTACAAAAACTCATGGGCATTCAATGAAATTAAAGAGCATTAGGTTTAGAACAGATAAAAGGAAGGACTTCTTCACCCAAAGAGTCATAAACACGTGGAATTCACTGCTGCAGGAAGTGGTGGTGGCTACAAGCATGGACAGTTTCAGGAGGGAATTGGATAAACATATGGAGCAGAGGTCCATCAGTGGCTATTGGCTACAAGGTCTAGACGTAACACTCTGTCTTGGGGCAGTGATGCTCGGTCTTCTTGGTGCTGGGGGGGGCAATAGTGGGAGGACTTCTCAAGTTCTGGCCCTGCTGGTGGACCTCCTGATGGCTTCTGGTTTTTGGAACAGAGTGGTGGACGGGATGGACCACTGGCCTGATCCAACATGGTTTCTCTTATGTTTGGTGTGGTTAAGTGCGCAGACTCTAATCGGGGAGAACCGGGTTTGATTCCCCACTCCTCCACTTGCACCTGCAGGATGACCTTGGGCAAGCCATAGTTCTGTCAGAGCTGTCCTTGAAAAGGAGCAGTCTCTGTCAAGAGCTCTCTCAGCCCCACCTACCCCACAGGGTGTCTGTTGTGGGGAGGGGAAGGGAAAGGAGTTTGCCGCTCTGAGACTCCCTTGGGTAGTGAAGGGCAAGGGGTATAAATCCAATCTCCTCCTCCTCCTCCTCCTCCTCCTGGGAGATTTATTAGGCCCAGTACAGCAGAACCACCAGAAAACTTGCAACAGTGTAATCTGCAAGACTCAATCAGGCACAGCAGTGGCTGCTAGGCGACTGGATGCCACACAACTCACAAGTCAAGTGGCAACCTTCACACAACTTGGATGGCTTGGCTGGACTGGCAGTGGCCACTGCACAACTCACCTGCATGACCTGCCCCCTGGCACAACTTTTGCAGTTTCGCCAGACTTTTCCCAGGGGGAGGGGGAGGGGAGAAAGCGGAGAGACAGTGCAGCATAGTGATTAGACTATCACTAGGATGTGTGAACAGGAGCCACGGTGGATCAGTGGTTAAGACGCTGAACTGCAGACCGGAAGGTCGGTAGCTCGGCAATTCGAGACCCGAGTGTCATATGACAGAGTGAGCTCCCGGCTCTGGTCCCAGCTCCTGCCAACCTAGCAGTTCGAAAGCAAGAAACAATAGGTGCCGCTTCGGTGGGAAGGTAACAGTAGGGTTGTTAGGAAGATAAAATGGAGGAGAGGGGAATTATGTAAGCTGCTTTTGGTCTCCACTGGGGAGAAAGGCGGGGGTATAAATGACGTTCGGTGATAAATAAAGCTGAAGAATTTGGTGGCAGGTAAAAGCAGTTGGTTGGTGGGAAGGAGAGAAGGGAAAAGGGGTTGGCAGTTTCAAATCCCTACTCTGCTGGGTGACCTTGGGCGGGTCACTCTCACTCCCAGCCTAAACTCCCTCCACCAGGGTTGTCGGGAAGATAAAATGGAGGAGAGGGAGATTTTGTAAGCTGCTTTAGGAGCTGCGGTGGCTCAAGTGGTTAAGACGCTGAACTGCAGGCTGTGGAAGGTCAGTCGTTCAGCAGTTCGAGACCTGAGTGTGCCGCATGACGGAGTGAGTTCCCGTCTCTAGTTCCAGCTCCTGCCAACCTAGCAGTTCGAAAGCAAGACATTGCAAGTAGATAAATAGGTACCACTTCGGTGGGAAGGTAACAGCGTTCCGTGCGCCTTGGTGTTTAGTCATGCCGGCCACATGATCACGTATAAGTCTTCGGACAGTGCTGGCTCTTCGGCTTTGAAACAGAGATGAGCACCGCAACCCTAGAGTCGGATTCGACTGGCTTTCGAGCAAGGGAACCTTTACCTTTACCTTGGGTCTCCACTGGGAAGAAAGGTGGGGGTATAAACAACGTTCGATGATAAATAAAGCTGAAGAATTCGGTGGCAGGTAAAAGCGGTTGGTTGGTGGGAAGGAGAGAAGGAAGCAGGGAAAGGGGGAGAGGGAAAAGGGGTTGCTAGGATGAGGGAAAGTGGGGAAAAGGCAGAGAAAAGGATGCGGGGGGTGGAATAAAGTGACCCCCACAAGTCCTTGTGAATTTCCTGCCTGTATATTTAAATTATACAGTTAGTAGAGTTATGTCACCAATATTAAGGAAGCAACGACCCTTTCGGAGAAAGGCCCAGAGGTTCCATTGGTCCTGCTGGCTGTTTGTTTCAGGGAAAAGCTGTGCAGCCTCTGATATTCTGTTTGACAGCAGCATTGTAGAGATCGTCTCCTCCCCGTTATTTACTAAACCAGCCTCTTTACAAGGAGGGGAGGCATTTCTAGAGTACCTGTTGCTGAGAGTGGATCAAGGCAACAAAAAGATGAACTCCCTCTTACTCATTTTGGACAGCGACGTCACGGG